GGATTGAAAGATTGCATTTATATTAAACGGCATTAAATATTAGAGATGGATGGTATAGATTGATTGGAAAAATTAGCGAATGTCGCGTCACACACAAGTTGGTCATTTAATGGCCTGGTTTTGTACGAAGCATTCTCAAATTTTGTGAATTTGCCGTGGTAAGCTTCAAATATCGAGACAAATCTACAAATATACATAGAAATTGCCAGCATTAAATGTTTAATGCGATACATTTACAGATTACATTACAGAAAATGTATAAAACATATTTCGTACATTTGTGAGAAAATATATGCGCGTATGAATATACGAAAGTACATGTGTAAAATATTAAAATGAAAGTGAAACATTCCGTCCAACAATCGATCCTAGATAAACAAATCATGCCAGACAATTGAATTCCTCATTTGGCAAATGAATGAATATTCCTTTCCATGATGTTGCGAAACTTTCGTGTCATACTTTGTAACAGAATGTAACATTGTTGCAAGGAAGGAATAGCAACTACGGTGACATAACTTGAAAAGCGAACTACACCTCTTTTCGATGAATGATCAAGTGTCATTTTTACTTACGATGCAAAAATCTAGTCTTGTATTTTTAATACTTGTTGCCTCTATCTATAATAAACTCGTTGGACTTGCGCCACGTGAGCGTTAATTAAGCAACTCGGTTGTGTTTCACTATTCCTGGCGAGAAGTTTTCTATCAAATGCAAAGTATTCGTAGACATCTAAGAAAATCTTGTTGAAATCTTCAAGTATAAAGTACAACATTTGTCTGAAAACTCGAAATTAGCGACTTCGATTTACAAAGAAAGATTTCCAAAAAAAAAAAAAAGAAAAAAAAAAGAAATGCGAAATATGGGACAGCAGCGTGCAAAAGGAGGAAGGAAAAATCCCGGCGTTGACCAAAACGAACGACCAATTTCACGCGTAGCAAAAGCAAAAGCCATCCCCCTGTTGCAGCGACGCGTCTGACCAAGAGATTGGAACATCTTCTCCATGATTTGGATAGCCGGCCGTGGCGACGGCGGCTGCCATTCGTGGCAATTGAACGTTCCAGCTAAGCCGTTTATGCCGGTCCACGGAGTGCATTCTCCGTACGGTTCGGGATGCGTCGTGTGCAACGCGCTCGTGTGCAAGAACGTGGCCATTGCCCGTTGGTTGCCTGTACCAAAGGGGAGTCGTGGGCTTCGGCCGGTGGCTTTGCGTTTAGTGGGTGGTACCACCACACACCGCGTTGCCGCACGCACACGCGTAACGTTCCAACACGCCACGCACACCCTGCGTGCACGCGTGTCATCGAGGACACGCCAGCGTGTTTCTGCTCGCGTCCCTCTCTGCAGCGATCGGAGTAAACCGAGGTGGCGCGACGTTTCGCGATAAGCTGGATTCCCCCCGGTGGGTCTGATCGTGCGGAGACGTGAAACTCTCGGTCGAACGTGATAAAAAAGACGCGAGAGAGAGAGAGAGAGAGAGTGTGTGTGTGTGTGTGTACACGCGTGTGTCTCGGGACGTTGTGTCCATTTTGTTAAATAAATGCTCGATGTAAATTTGGCTGTGTCGCGAGGCTTTGCGAGTTGCAAAAATTATAATAAAAATTTGTTTAATATATTTTAGGAATTATAATAAAAATATTGTTGTTGTTTAATATATTTTAGGGACAATATTTTTGTTGTTTGAAAATGTTTGGAATAACATTTTGTTGTTGTTTAATATATATTTAGGAATAATATTTTTAACATATTTTTGCGAGTTGCAAAAATTGTAATAAAAATTTATTTAATATATTTTAGGAATTATAATAAAAATATTGTTGTTGTTTAATATATTTTAGGAACAATATTTTTGTTGTTTGAAAATGTTTGGAATAATATTTTGTTGTTGTTTAATATATTTTAGGAATAATATTTTTAACATATTTTTAGGAATTATAATAAAAATATTGTTGTTGTTTAATATATTTTAGGGATAATATTTTTTTGTTGTTTGAAAATGTTTGGAATAATATTTTGTTGTTGTTTAATATATTTTAGGAATAATATTTTTAATATATTTTTAGGAATTATAATAAAAATATTGTTGTTGTTTAATATATTTTAGGAATTATAATAAAAATATTGTTGTTGCTGCTGATCTTTGAAGAACATTGTACAGACTTCATTTAAATTTCGCCAATATTATCGCGACACTCGAGTGATATTGATGGTGAAATTTCAATGTGTTGTATGTTTCATAGAATGCATGCAATAACGTGTTAAAATCTCTCCTGTAGTTGCTCGAATATTTTCGTGAGCGTGAGGAACTGGGTATTATCGTAGAAATTTTTTAATATAATTGTCGATATAACACGACGAGTCTTTTTCTTTGTTTGTAAATTTTCTGCCACAGTAATATTTGTTTACTTAAAATTTCATAGTTTCTTAATCAATAATATTACTCTTTTACGTTATTTAGACATTTCATTTATATTTATATTATTTACAATTAGTAGATATTTTTTAGTTAGTATTTAGTACTTTTGTCACTATTCCAAAATCTGCTAAATATGCTCCCATAGAGAAAGTTAATATTAATATTGTATTTTTTTCAGTGCCGATAAAATTAATATTGTATTTTTTTTTTTCAACGCCGATTATAAACGTTCAAACAGTAACGCGTGTGCCGCTAAACAGTTCATCGATATAACAAACATGTATCTCGAGCTGTCTCCGCCAGCGTTCACAATTATACCGCAATTTTTCGGAATAACAATGACGATCGCATTAATGATCACCGCGAAATATACGGGAACGGGGCAGCGGCCGCAGCGCGATATAATTAATGGTCAAGTTTCGAGGTATTAATTATAGAAATAATTACGTGTGATACTACGCCGCTTAACGGCGGATAGAATAAACTCTACACGCGTCCGTAAATCTTACGCGCGATGAAACATTTCGATACACCGATAATTTCACTTTTTAATGGGCCACGATGCGACTAATTGTTGAAATGACCCCGCGTATGATATTTAATGACATCAATGGACAGATATCTGATGAAATTGGCCAATGAATTGTGACGAAAATTGTGATGGAAATTGGCGACCCCGGGTAATTTGAACTGAATACCTAAAGAGGAGGAAACGATTCTCGTAGTTCTATAATACGTGCTGCGGCTCGTTCGAGAGTTTTTGGACGTTTATCGCGGAAGAAGTTTCGCGCATGCGTTGTTTGCCTTACGCGAAATGTTCTGAAATTACGAGAGACGGTTATTGCAATTACAATATTGGTATAATACTTGGAGCCAATCTGAAAACGTACAAAGAAGTCGCGCAAGTATATACATTGTGTTGAAGCCACAGAAATATTTAAACAGCCACTGCGCGAATCAACTTCAATATTACGTGAAATCATTTTTAATACGTGTCATCTATACGCTCAATTCTTAATTGATAACATCGGAGACCATGACAATTAATTAAAGGTTAGAATTTTATCAACATACTTAATTTATTTATACGAATAATTTTATTAATAATATATCTTAATTAACTTGTATAATTCATTACCAATTCTGAAATTTTGGACTTTAATTTAATTCTCTGTCACAAAATAGAAAGTAAAGTTAAATATCCTTAACACTTTTAATATTTCTCCTTTTCTCGAAATTTCATTTGCAACGTATGAAAAGGGGCTAGAGATATCTACATTTTTGGCTCAAATCAATTCGAAGAATAATTAGAGACCGAGAAACATCTCTGCTCTATAAAATACAAAAGTTCTCTGTTCCAGACAATTTTTATTAATAATAAGATCATCGTCGTATAAATATCACGTTTCTTCAATAAGTTTCTCAAACAGCTAGAAATACTTGATCTTCTACTATTCCTCAATCAAACCCCATTCTTACGTTACTTAAAAAGAGAAAGAAAGAGAAAGCAATAGGGAGTGAGTAGAATTGATTCGCGTGGTGGCGAAAGCGAGCAATTGCTAGCCACGTCATGCATCCGATCATCGAAACCCCTTCGTTCGAGCAATCGTCCCTGGAATCACTGTCCATACGGATCCAGATCTATCCGGCTGCACGATCTAGCCGGCTAATTGAGAACGATGAGCAACTCCACGTTCTCTTGCCGGACGGGATGTCTTCGTCCAGTGGGCGAACTTTGGGGTATTCCCCCGGCGACGGCGGCCCAAGACACGGATGGACAGGGGCTCCTGGAATTCGACGGTGCGTCAAATTGATCCTTGCTTATCCCTGATTCCACTTTGGGATAAGATACATACGTTTATGAAAACGATGGTAACTACGCCGTCCGCTGGGAGATCGGCGAGAGGCGCTGTGCAAACGATGGCCTCGTTATCTACACGTTTGCGCCGTGCATAGGGTATTAATTACGGTGGACGCCGTCGGGTTTAATCGAGTATCGCGACGTGAAACGGATGCTGCTCCAGGTGTGTAGACTCAGTACTGACGGATCAAGCATATGCGTCACGGACTTTTACGTACATACGTCGGGTTTGTTCGTGTTTGCATTGAATTTTAGCCTTCAGCGTTGCTGGAATAAACGAATCGTAAGAATACCTTACTATACTGCTTTATAAAGAAAATCGAATTGTTAGTGTGTTGTGTTATTGCAATTACTATTATTATTTAATAATTATTATTATTACTTTTTTAGAATTCTGTCTTTGTTTTATTTCCTATGATTATTATTGTTACTTCCTTAGAATTCTATCTTTGTTTTATTTTCTATGATTGTTATTATTACTTCCTTAGAATTCTATGTTTGTTTTATTTCCTATGATTATTATTGCTACTTCCTTAGAATTCTATGTTTGTTTTATTTCCTATGATTATTATGTTACTTCCTTAGAATTCTATGTTTGTTTTATTTCCTATGATTATTATTGTTACTTCCTTAGAATTCTGTCTTTGTTTTATTTTCTATGATTGTTATTATTACTTCCTTAGAATTCTATGTTTGTTTTATTTCCTATGATTATTATTATTACTTTCTTAGAGTTCTATCTTTGTTTTATTTCCTATGATTATTATTATTACTTCCTTAGAATTCTGTCTTTGTTTTATTTCCTATGATTATTATTGTTACTTCCTTAGAATTCTGTCTTTGTTTTATTTCCTATGATTATTATTGTTACTTCCTTAGAATTCTATGTTTGTTTTATTTCCTATGATTATTATTATTACTTCCTTAGAATTCTATGTTTGTTTTATTTCCTATGATTATTATTATTACTTCCTTAGAATTCTGTCTTTGTTTTACTTCCTATGATTATTATTATTACTTCCTTAGGATTCTGTCTTTGTTTTATTTTCTATGATCATTGTTGTGGCAAATTCAACTTTCTCTTATTGATATTAATTACAGTAATGGCTCGATAGGATAAAATACAAAGTAAACGGAATGAATACAACAAACAGAGTATGGTGTGAAATTAACGTTAAATAGAATTGCATACAATAATTTTCGCTTGACGAAGGAGAATGGTTCAGTTGTTCAGAGAAAGAATTAGCGTGTGTATCAATTTAGTCAGTATGGTAAAGTTAATCATGTGTGCAAGAATATATAGAATAAATATCTTCTGAGATTCGTAGAAATCTAGTATTAAGCTTCGATAAGTTCGAAAATGTCAAATTGTTGCAATTATTCATTATTTTGGAGATATACGTAAGCCTGTGCTATTTTAGCTGCGGGCAACTCGAATAATGCCAAGAGTGAATCACGATTATGCCAAAACAGGTTTCCGAGGATTTCAAATTGGTGATTCCAAAGGAGATTTTAAACATTAATATTTGACGCGTGAATTTTTCCCACGAAGACTTCAGTTGATGATGTTCATTTATTATTATATTTGTTTTCAACGTTTCACAAAAGACACGGTGCAACTACGCGAATCTGATTCGACATTGTCTGAAAAAGACGAGTTGCGCTGAACGCGAGAACTCTAAATGGTAACTAATCTCACTCAAAACCGATATGATCGAGTCGAATGAGTAGCCAAGTACATACGCATCGCGGAAGCGAAATCCGCGACGCTAGTTGAATCCAAAACTGGGCCATCTATTCCCAATCCGAATCCGCCGACGAACCAACGGCCTCCTGCGAGCCTTTCTAATTTCCCGAGAAACCACGAAATCCAGCCACGTCTAACCATCCTCCGGCTCGGAGTAACGAGCAACGAGGAAGGACAAAGGGCCCTCTCTAAGCAAGGCACAAAAGACATCCATAAAATCAACGGAGGAGAAAGGAAAAAAAAAAAAAGAAAAAAAAGAAAAGCGGCGTGAGCTGAAAGTCATGCGCGCGCGCGCGTCCTCGTGAAAGCCGCGGATCCTGTTCTAGCCACTATTAAAAGAAGCCTCTCACCCCCTGGGAGAGGTAAGACTAGCGATGGGACCAAGTACGCGCTAAGTATAACCGATATCATGGAAAATCAGATTTGTTCAAAGAATCTGCGTCTGAATCTTCTCGCCAATGATTCAACAAGTTGAATCTGCGTTTAAACGGAATTAATTTACCAGTGTTTATCTTAATTACGAGCACCTATGTTCAAATTAAATTTAACAAGTACCAATATTTCAATTAAATTAATTTACCTATATTAATTTAGTAATAATAATAATTATATTAATTCGCCTATATTATCTTGGTACCTATGTTAAATTAAATTACCTATATTTTTACTAATATTATTAACATTTCATTAATATTTATTTTTATAAATAATTTCTTGCGATAATCTTGCATGAAACACTCGTTGAATTCATTTGACTTAACGTGCTACAAATCTCACGTGCCGAATGCACAATACATATTAATATGTTACGTATAGTATATTTACGCTCTGATACGGTTGATAAAACTTCTGAACGAAATTTCCTTCGAAATTCCTGCTCGCGAGAAACCTAACCCAAACCATTGAACTCGTCGTCTTCGACAGCAATCGAACCCCTTCCCACGAGTATTACGAGCTTTTTTACACATTACTCGCACTATAATAGAAAATTGGGCAAGATGAATTTCGGGCTTGATCACATCGCTAGGTGTGCAACAACGCGCGAGTGCGTTGCATAGAACAGAGACAGGGACGAGTGAACGTCGACTGGGAGACGGGGCAGCACCGTCTTTGCACGTGTGATGGAGACAGAACGGCCTCGGTGAGTCTTCCCCGGGTATTAACGCCGGGGAATACATTAGAGGTGGTGGCGAGGAGCGGTGCGCCGAGGAGGCGGCAACGTGGCCACCATGTGTGATGGCAAAGTTGAACGTTTCTTTCTTTCTCGGCTCGTAGCCGGACATATATCTGCGCCCCGCCACGTCCTGCATATAAGAGAGGGACTACGCAGCCGAGACGAGAGATGCTTCTTCTCCCGGCTGACTCGTACCTGGCCGCAGAGACCACGGATACGCTTCTCTCTTTCTTCTTCTTCTTCTTCTTCTTCTTCTTCTTCTTCTTCTTCTTCTTCTTCTTCTTCGTTTTCGTCCTTTTCCCTTTGTGCACGTTGCTTTATGGTTTTTGAAAGAACCGGCCAGGAATTTCAGACGACGAGAGGCAACGGTTCGTTCCCCGTGGCTCGTGACGATGGGACGGTTTGGAGAGGACCGTGGGTAAGTTTCTGGGAACGGGGGTGGCTGGGCAAATTGGACGGTTTCGGGTGTTTTATTTCTTTTAGACACTCTTTGGGGATTTGGGAAGGTGCGGGGGGGGGGGGGATTGAGAGGTCAGGCTGTTGTCAGTGTGCGTGGAATTAATAACGATCGTCCCCATTTTTTGTATCCTATTTTTGGCCAGGGGGAACGTGAAATTAAATTTTCGCGTTAACGATGTTAACTTTAATGTTAGACACTCTCACACAGATGGATTCTATTTGTTTCATTTACTGGAAACTTGGATTGTTTACAGGGAAACGACCCACAACTTTGTAAAAGTGAATATCGCTACGTCACGGGGAAAGAAGAAGGATGATGGACTGAACGTGTTTCGAAACGGGCACGGACGCTGCGAAATCGGACAATTTAATATCCGTAACAATTTTATAACCCATTCAAGATTCATTCGGAGGTGTAATAAAAAGCTTAAAGGGCGAAAAGGGAAAGAGGGGAGAGAGAAAGAGAGAGAGAGAGAGAAAAAAAAATCGCTGGGAAAAGCCGCCTCTCTGGCTCTCTCTGTATGACAGCGACGCGGGAATAATTGGACAATGTAACGGGGGAATGGGCAAAGAAAAATATTTGACGAAGCAAAGGGTGAAATACTGCCGCCGTTCGACTTTTTTTTTTTTTTTTTAATACAGCGCAGAGTGATATCCTGTATCGAAACGAGGGAAATTCGAACGAAGACGGAGAAAAGGACAGAGGATCTCGGTGCGATTCGAGTCGGTGGAAACAGGTTGGAAAACTTAAGAATACTTAGCGAAAGAGAGAATGTTGTTCGATACCGTGTTGTTCCCAGTGGCAGACAAATCGTCGTATGTGGCGGGCATCGCAAATTGCTGATTAAAAAGAACTGGCGTTTCCAATTATCATACGGAAAACAAATTTCTGCACGCGTAGCGCGCACAAGGGAATTGCCGGCAAAATGAACGAATATGCCATTCGTTAGACCCATTACGCGAAACGAGGTTCCAAGTGTGCGAGGCAAATGGATTTTTCGCTCGCGATTTTTCTTTTTTTTTTTTTGTGTCGCAAGGAGACAATTTCTTGAGCAAATCGTACTCGGAACTCGAGAGAATATCGAAAAAGAAAAAAAAAAAAAAAAGGAAGAAAGAGAAGAACGTATCTGAATGATTGAAAATTTCAATGCCAATGATCATTTGGTTTACAAGAGTATCGTGTCTTTTCTTGGATCTTCCTTGTCTTTCACACGACAGCATCTATAAAAAAATAAAAGTTAACGTTTGCCAAACTAGTGGCTTTTCTAGATTAATAGGGCGATATTAATATTTTTTTTTATAGCAAGTGGATCTAACAAAGCGTCGGAAATTACATGTATAATTTCACTTGAAGGAACGACGAAACTTGTAAAAACTGTGTCGAACAATTTCAGTCTGAAAGAAAAAAAAAAAAAAAAGAAAAAAAATTACTCCGCGAGATATTCAGGTGTTCCTATTCCAGTTCCCTGCGTTATTTTTTTCAAACATGGTTCACAAGTTTCATCATACCCTTTACCCTGTAAATGAAGTGCGTTGCAGACGAGAGACAAACCAAGTATGCACTGCTGCCTCTAGCTGCTTCATCGATGGGAAATCATCCACTTTCAAACTTGTTGATCCATTCACGGATATACATTTTACGACGGATACACAGTATCCGCGCTGCGTCACAAAATGAACTAATATTATACGTATATTACCTCGGATATTCTCCCCTATATCCAAACTAATAAGAAACGACCGACTGGTCCGAGTACGTCGAACGAAACTCCATCATCGAAACCATTCGGTTATCCAAGCCAGCTCTCCTCCGTGTTCGAATAAACGGCAGTTTCACTCTGCGTACGGACACAGCGTTTGCAACGTTGACCAAGTTACGGTCAAATG